TGCGTTTTTGGCCTGCGAATTGGACTTTTCAAAGGTAGCGAAAGAAACCAAAAGGACCAGCAGCCCGTACAACTGTGTGTGTGTGTGTGTGTGTGTGTGCGTGTGTATTAGTCTGTGTGTGTTTCACATGCTCTGGCAACGTCGTAATGGCCACAGTTGTTGTTATGGCAAAAGTTCGTACGTGAGGGTCGAGCCGCATACAGACGACATCCTTTCTCTTTGGTCCTTTGGCTGTTGCTGGCCGGGCCGTTTGTACATATTGCATCAAAGAAAAGTTGTGCCGGGCACAAGGAAACGGACGGACACACACACTCACACACACTTACATACACACACACACACACACACGACCATACGCAGTCGCAGTGCAAATAATAAAAAACTGGGCTGACAAAATCGTTTCCTTGGCTATGCGACGCCATGGACAACGCACGAGAATCCAAGCATATATGCCCACAAGTATATACATATATGTATTATATACATTGCTAATGCTAGACTCAATCCCCCACGTGCCGGCAACGCAGCCTCGTCGCTCGATTCCACAAATCCGTGCAGCCGGCCCAAACCCCTCATTTTGCAGTCGCGTTTATCAAGTCAAGACGCGGAAATTGGCTGCCATTTCGATCTGCCTCACACACACACTCCCTCGCACACACACAGGCAAGGCAAAGGATAGCGCAGTTTAAGCATAACTGATAGCTTTGGTCAAGGCTTCGGCTCTAGCCAGAGGCGGGCAGCTGGCAGCTGGAAGCAAAGCTCAATGCTATGCTTAAGCGCTTGAATTATATTGCAAACTTTTCTCACATGCTCCAGTTGGCATACAGAAGCTCGTGACTATGGTAAACGGTAAAGTTGAAGTCGTAAAGTAGTCTGGCAATTGTTGTGATAATATAAATATAAATCTTTCACGAAATTATTCAAAGTAAATTTCTGGACATCAATGAAATAACATTGTGTCTATCCTAATATAAATATTCTGCCTAGGTACGTGCTGAAGTGCTTTGCTGCACTTGCTCAGTCACCTAAACTGAAAGTAAATCAAGGAATTTGAGACAGTTAAAGCTACCTGTACATGTCACCTGTATAATGATATTGTTTTCTCGAACTAACATAATAAAGTATTGGGGGTCACCCTCTGGCGTCGACTGCTGCAGCGCTGGAGAACATTATTCCTAACGTCAGACATACATAATTCCCATCGACATAAGCAAAACACCTGTGCCCTATGCTAAGCATAGTATGTGTCAATTACAGGCCTTAAAAACTATGAACACGTATTGTAATAGATAAGAATTGTGAATAAAAGCAATCGCTCTTCGTCCTTATGATCAGTTGAGCATAAATCACTGGAGTCAGAAATCTTTATAATATTTACGTTTTCCAGAGTTTCGTGGATTATCTTCTCTTTCGATAGAGAGAATGGGAGAGAGAGAGAGAGATGTTATTTATATATAAAAATACATATCTCAAAACGTATTTATTCGGCAATTTGAGACGTTTGCTATTACGTGCAAAAATATCAATAATTTTATGAAAAATACGTTATGTCTATATATTGATGCTGCTATTATTTACCTTCCAAAGATCAAGTTGCAAGTACATAGAATAAATCACAATAAATTTGTAAAGCTTATATCTATTAAAAACCTATAGAAAATACATATTTTTCAATTTAATGTGAATGAATAAAAGAAAAAATTTACATTTTCAAATGCTAGTAAATAATTTTAGCCAAATTAATCAAATTTGAACTAGTCGAAGACAATAAAATTTTAAATTGCTTTTCGTATTAACTTTGATTATTAGACACACATACAAAAGCTGATTGCTCTGACAAGCAGAGAAATCCCAGAAATTACTAAGACAAATTTCTTTTGATATTAGTGCCATTAATTCAAAAATCAATATGAATACCAATATTACTATTAATATCAAAAAACGCTGAGATCATACTGTATTATATATACAAATATTCAAGATCAACTTATGACAGCTCTCTGAATGAAATTCCTAGTTTGGTTTGATGTATACAAAAATGCAAGTATTTGGGTACCAATATTATATGTACATCCATTAGGTAGTCGAATTTGGAATATACCCACCAGGCCCCAGGCTTACGAGTTAGCGAAATATGTGCGTTTATCTAATAGCTAAGACTAAAAGCTGACTGCTATGTCACGCGCACATGATACAGGATTGGTTAGCTGGCTTCAAGGAACAAGCCCAATAGAACTCAATGTAATTTTACGCACATACATACATATGTGAAACTATAGGTATCTAGATACTTTAGTTCTGGACTCAATTTGAAGCAGCAAGTCCCATAGCATTGCCAGCCAATTTAACCGCCTGCTGCGGCTTAGGGCAGCATAGTTAGTCAAAGTCTGCTGCAAGAGCAACAACAAAATGAAAAAATAAAATAAAAAACCTGCTCTACAGCAAAACCGCAATCTCCGACCCAGAAAGGCGTGGGGATGGCTGTGGGTGTGGGCGGTGGCTAAAGGGGAGCGAAGGGGACAAGGGACAGCACACATCAGCAGCAGCGGCAGCAGCCTGATCTGTGTAAAAATATTAGTTCTGTCAAAATAAATTTCTTTGAGTAATGTAATCCCATTTTGTGGTCTTGACACACATACGCACGCAATTCTTTAAACCCACACATACATAGACATACATATATGTATGTGTACACATATATATATATGCATACATTTTTTTCTTTTTGCGCCCGGAAGTGCCGGCCGTAGTAACTCGACCGCAACAGCCCAGCAGCCACGCCCACATCTTGGGTCACATATCGCATCAAGCCGAATATGAATGCGATAAATCTGTTCGTGATTGTTTTTGCTGTCGCACATGTTGGGCCGAGCCCAACAAAAACAGCCACCAGGCCCAGGCCCCAGCCCCAGACCTTGCCCCCTCCCCTCCCCTTCCTCCTGCTGCCTCCCCGTCTATCACTCTGAAGGTGTCCACCACGTTTTTTTTTTTTGTGCCTGCCTGCCTGGAAGTGCGTAAAAAATGGCAACGGAATTCGCTAATCCAGCCAAGAAACTGCTCTTGCTTTGGGGGGTTGCCTGCGCTACGGCCAACGGGCGGAGATAGGAGTAGGAGTAGGGGTAGGGGCTGGGGTAGGGGTTGGGGGTTGGGGGTTGGGGGTTGAGGCTTCAGTTCAGCTGTCCTTTATTACACTATTTCCCCAGCTAGGCCTGAGCTGAGGGGCAACGATTACGAACACATGTACACACACATGACCAGGTGGGTGGGTTAGCTGGGTGGTGGGTGGTTTGGGTGGCTCGCTAGCCTGATGATGACAATGTGTTCTGACAGCTTTTTGCGGCTGTGATTGCAAAAAATGAGCGACGATGACGAGAAAAGAACAAGAAATTGCAAAATTTTTTGGCACACACGTAAACACACACACACACACATCCACACACCTACATGCATAGACAAGCAGGGAAAATGATATGAGAGGCTATCGAAGAGCAGATACTCTTCAAGGATAAATATCATATATACATATCGAATAGTAAATGTTTTAGAAGCCCATTCCATCTATTAGACCTATGTATATATGGACAAAGGATTCTTTCGATCCCTAACAGCTGAATGTCTGTATATAAAAGCCAAGGAAATATGAATCGGGAATATGATTTCTGATTACTTAAATCTCACATTTCCTTTGAAAATACACATGCATACATATATAGGCAGCCCGATATAGAAGATATATGTTGTCCTATTGATACCTGTATATGCATATGTACATATATAAAGTTATAGACGTATGTGTATATCCATATATAAATCGATAATTATCATATCTATAAACCAGTTGAATATATCAGTAGATATACACATTTAAATTTCGATATATATATTGATATATTGATATTCAGATATAAATATATCAATCTAAAATACTCACCCACTGCATAAAGCCCTTCTACATCTTGTTCACATAATTCCTTATACAATCGTAATACCACTCGAGGAGGGTATTTGAAATCAACGCAAAATATCGTGTAATATAATATAGTCAAAGTCAAAGTCACAGTCGGAATCGGAGTTGGAGTCGGAGTTTGTTACGCACAGAACGTGTCGATAGCGTCGACGTTGTGGGTTGACGAGGCGGAGGGTTGGGGTTGGATGGCTCTGGGATTGGACTATGGAGGAATGGTGTGGCCGTTATGCACACGCATACATACATACATACGTACATATATTTATATATAGGTCGCAGCGAGGCAAAGTGGAGTTGCGATTCGCGAACGCACATTGATGAGGCCAAATTTCAGTGATTCGTCATCTAAATAGGTTTGTTCAAACAAACACACACACACGCACACGCACTGTCGTGAAATTACAACGCATTACATGCACGCACACCCACATACAAGCACACGCACAAACACACATTTGCGTAAAAAAAAGATTCGCTGCAATTTCTGACAGATGCCGCAACCATTTGGCATATTGCAAAGATTCTTCAAAATCCCAGCGAATCGTTGAAGACATTATAGTACAAACCTTTCATAACATTCATGGCCATATTTTTAAAATACTCGTTTCATTTCCAAATACTTCAATAATTGCAATAAACTCCAACCAAGTCCAATTCAGCTGCTTTTCCTATAAGCGTTCTTATTGGAAACAATCGGTATTTAATTCTAGCCATAGTTGGCGCGCATATCCAATTAGACTGGTTGTAACATGCAACTTTTTGCTAACCATGACAGACAGATGGCAGCAGCAATGTAATTCACAAAAGTTATGAAATCAGCTCAATTAATGAATGACTCAATCAAATTTCATTATTTTAACTTAATAATTTAAAAGTTTTCAGCATATACGAGCTAGGCGAGCCGAGTTAGTCATAGGTCACACAGCAATCAGCCAACGATCGTGTGGTAAGGACTTCCGCACATCCCGTCAAAAGCTAACTGCTACAGCAACAGCTCCATGGGAATTCGTTTGCCCAAGAAAAACAACGAGAATTTGTTAATCTAAATAACAGTAAGTTATATTATATTTGAAGTAGTTATTCAGTTATCTTGCAGATTATATATACATACAGATTGAAATGATAAGAAATCAAAATAAAAACGATACACTAATTGATACAATGAAATTCGCCTTTTATTTATACATCATTACATCTAGCATTATCAATGAAGTATTATCATTGGCGAGTGGCGATTAAAAAAGTGTAGGATGTGTGTGAATGTCTATTTGCATCGGTGTCTGTGTGTCAGTCTGTTTGCCTGCGTATGTGTATATGTGCGGATATGGGTCTGGGTTGGCATGTGAATAATGTGGGGATTATTAAAACTAAATGCATTAAATTGTTTGCTTTTAACTGACAATCGACACAACATCGACACAAGCGTTACGATGTTAGGTAAAACAACAAAAGTATTTAAAAACGTATGCAAAGACTGTAGGCTGTTTTCGAAGGCAGCTGATTAATGCTAATGCTAATCCAGAAGCAGACCCAATTGCTAAATGGCAGACGTAGGCGCAGTCGCTGTCGCTGTCGCTGTCGCTGTCGCAGTCGCAGTTGCAGTTGCAGTTATAAACTCCCAATCCACAAGTGTGTGCCTGGCAGCAGTTAGATGACAGACGACCGCACACATACCCTATAGATTGTATACTGAATGCTGAAGGTGGTTGGCATTTTAGGAGCGTTTGCTGCGACTGCTAAGGTTGCTGGTGCATTGAGGTGGAGAGGGTCTGGGAGGGGGGCAAACGTATGTTATCAGGTCAATTTGGAGCGCTTCTTGGCAATGGCATCCTCGACGGCGCGCAGTTGTTTTAGTAGCTCTTCTCGGCGTGACTTTTTGCCGTCCTTGTCCTTGTCTTTGTCTTTCTCTTTCTCCTTTTCCTTATCTTTGCCAGCGCCCTTCTCCTTATCGGGGCCGGGCGAATTGCCGGGCGACACTAGCGCCGACACGCCCACCATGTTCGATGTTTTCTTAATCTCAATAGAAATGGGTGAACGCTTCTTGGTCGATTGTTCAGTGGCTGCACAATGGATCAGAGAAATGCCCCAATTAGGATACATTATGATACATAGTACATCTACTTCATACTAACGTTTTTTGATTAGTTTGCGCTCGTTGAGCGCCTTGTCTGTGGCACGCATTCGCTTCGCGGGCGTTTCCCGCGAGCCCGACGAGCTGTCCGACGAGGAACTGCCGGAATCTGAGTCCGAATATGAAGTGTCTGAGGAATCTGCAAGTGCCCAAGTTAGTCAGTCAGTCTGTTACTCAATACCTAAATGGTAGGACATACCTGAGTCAGATGAGCTGGAGCTTCGACGGCGGCGCATCTTGTCAAACTTCTTGGGCGTCGGGGTGAGTTTCTTGCGCTTTGCGGCGGGACTGTGCCCGCCACCGCTGCGCTTCTCTAACGCGGTGCGCTTATACGTAGACGAAGTGCTGCCCTCTATGAGAAAAAGAGAAATGTTTATCGAAATTACTCTATTGCAACTATTCTGTGCACTCACTTGATGTGTGTCTGGGTCGCCGTGGTATTTGGCTGGGCGAGCGCGCTCGTCCGGCAGCATGGCGACGCGAGCTGGAGGAGGACATTATCTTGTGCGAGTAGCGACGCTTGTGATCCGAGGCGCTGCTAGAGCGCGACGAATCAGAGCTGGAATCGCTCTGTGAGCTGTTGGAGCTGGAATAGGATGAATTGCTGCTGTAGCTGCGACGATCCCGACGCCGCCTGTCATCGCGCTCGTACGACGGACCGCGTCCGATCGACTTTGAGCGCATCCACGGATCACTCCACTCATCACCACGTCCGACCGTCTCCACGCGCTGCACAATCACTTCCCGTGCAGGACGTAATCTACGGTCGTCCTCGTACTGTGGCATTCGATGCGGCGGCAGCTCCCGATATCGCGCCATACGGCCATAGGCATCCACATCCTCATACGGAATGGACGGCATATAGGGGAAACGATACCGATCCGCCGGCTGGCCGTACATGGAGTACACCGAGGGCAGCAGGGCTCGTGGATTGCCGTGACTGATTGGATTGGTCGGCGGCAACTCTCGCACAACGGCGGGCGAGGTGGCGCGCTCCTTGAGATAATACGGATCTTTTTCCAGTTCATCTGGCGAAAGCGTTAGATTCATCTTCTTGTCCTCGAAGTCCATGTCCTGCTCCTTGCGCTTGTTTGCCTTGCGCATCATTTCCTTAGCCGTGCGCAGCCCTCGCTCCCAGGCATTCTCCACCACCACTGGCCCGTCGGGTATGATCAGCCCACTTCGTGCATCATGGTGTGCGCTGACTCCAGCTGCGCCCGGCGCATACACGCCCCCGTGATGCAGTGCCGCGGCGCTCCGATGGTGCAGCGCGGCCGGACGCTCATTACGGTAATCGTGATAGTCACTGGCGGGCGGCACACCGGCCATATGACTGTTGTAAGCACTGCTGCCGGCTCCACGCGAGGGGTTGCCCGCTCCGCTGCCGCTCTGCATGGGCACGGATCGCACGAGGCTCTCGAACATTGTGTAGTTGCCCTTGTCCGTAACGCCCGGATGTAAAAACCGGCAGCTCATGCCCCAGGTGCACTGGCCACGCGTATAGAAGCGACAGACGGGCTTCGGTTCCGTCTCCTCGGGTCGTTTCTCATCCTCGTCCGAGACTTCGCCCTCTTCCAGCTCTTCGTCCTTTTTCTTCTTTTTGGCATTATCCGAGCCGCCCGTGCCGTCCTCCTCTTCGTCGCACACCTCGCCATCACCATCGCCCGCACCATTGCTATCGCCATCGAGCTGCACCACCTTGTTATTCTCATCGAGCTGCTTCGGCGGAGATTTCCCTTTCTTATTTGAATCGTTGCCATTTGCTGTAGCGGCCACCTTGGCAGCTCCATCCGTCTCGGCGTCCGCCTCCTTCAGTTCCGGGCACTCGCCCTCCTCAGCCTCAAAGTCGAGCGCATCATCGTCGTGTGCCTTGACCAGATCATCCAACCCATTGGTGCTGCCCGGCTCCTATTGAATATCAATTTGAATTAAATTCCGTTAGATAGTGATTGACATGATATTGATTCGACATATTGGAATTAATTGCCTAACAAATAAATGATTTGAATTCGTGAACTAAGCACAATCGACTCAATGTCATATCAATTAATTATACCATTTATTATCTTACCATTTTATTATCTGTCACGGGTTGGCTGGCTGACTTGTCCTCTCCGCCGCGACGATCCTTGCCATTGAGAGCTTGGGTTGCGTCAATGGCTGGCTGCGAGTCGCTCGAGAGGGCGCCGTCATCGTCGTCACCGACCATCGTGGAGTCTTTGGATGTGGCCTTGTTCTCCATGTCGATGTCGCTCACATCACTGAGATCCTCGTGGCTAATATTCAGATCCACTCCTCCCTGGTTGTACAGGCGATCTGGGCTATTGCTGCGACTACGCGCCGATGTGGCCGAATGTGATTTGATTGGCGAGCCAGAAACTGAACTAATGGCATCTGCTTCGTCATCTGCATTCGTGTGTGCAGAGGCAGCAGCAACAGCATCATCATTGCCATCACCCCCGCCATGAGCATTACCATCTGCATCGTCATCAGCATCGCCATGGGCTGCAGAGACATCATCATCATCTGCTGGCACAGCTGCTGCCGTAGGTGACGCTTTGGGTTTTTCGTCGTCTTCGTCAGAGCTAGAGCTGCTGCTGCTGGAACTACTGCTGCTACTGCTGCTGCTGCTGCTGTTACTGCTGCTGCTGCTGCTTCCAGAGCTTTTCTTCTTTCTCTTGCCACGACGACTGGATCTGCTGCTAGAGGAGGACGAGGAGCTGCTGGAAACTGAGCGTGCAGCCTTCGTTTCATCCGCATCGCCAGCTACTTCCATGCCAGGATCATTATTATCGCCAATAGACTTCATAGTGGAGTCCTCGTCCTCGTCGCCTGTTACCTTTGTGGGTGTCGATGGACGCGAGTTCGAAGGTGATTCTGACGACGACCTGGAGCTGCCATCTCCCGACTCCACGCTGACGCCCATGTCGTAATCAGAGCCGCGCTTTGTTCCTCGTCTATGCTCACCTTGATATGCTGCGAAGGATGCCAAAGATTAGTTCGCGTAAATCGTAATATTGAGAACTTTTTTTTGTTTTTCTTCGTTAACTTTTCGAATATTTCAACGTATCCCAAAAAAGAACGGGATCCCACTTCGGCGATCGAAGTTGTGGGGTATCTTTATCTTTATAAATATATATATTTTTTTTTTTTTTTTTTTTTTATCTTGTAAACAGTTGTGCAACGTTGATCATTCAAAGGTAATGAGCGAAGGGAGCATAGATAGAGAAAGAGAGAGAGACAGGGAAAGAGTGGGAGAGCATGAAAAAGTGAGTAAAGGAAAGAAGACAGCGAGAGCTTGGATTCTATTGTATGAAACTAAAAAATTCTGCATATTTTCGAATTATATATTTTCTTCTAGCTCGTGTTTTATTTGCATCTGTCTTAAACTAATCTAAGCATATTGACTAACATGAACTAACAGTTAACAGAATGGTTTAGCTTTAATTTGAACTGAAACCCTGGCAAGATATTTCTATTCTCATGTTTAAGCTTAACTATCTATATCTATATTAGCTGTTCCCTTCCGATATCATTATATCCAGACCCTAAGTAAGCCAAGAAAATAATCTAAAAACAATATTGGCAATAGATAAATAATATGGAGGAAGCTAGCGACTTATCTACAGGAAGACTCGCGATGAAAAGTAAACAAGAGGAATCTTAAACATGAACCTGATGCTCTCTATATTGTTGATGTGGAAGGTGAGGTTCAGGTGAAATGACGCTAAATGATTTGTCCTCATTTCATTCGACTGGGCTTTTTTATACTTTATTTTATTTTATTTTAATAGGGAAAGAAAAGTTTTGAACGTTAAGTTTTCTGTTCACTTTGTTAGATTCTTACCTTCATGATTGTACTTTTAATTTTTAAATACTTTTTTTAGAATAGTTTATTTTTTATTTGATGTGTGTGTTGTGATTGTTTATTTAAACTCGTATATATATCGACTTTACGCGAACGAAAGATAACAGAGAGAAAGAGAGAGAGAGCAATAGCTTTTATGAATTACTGAATAATAATAAAAGAACTACGTTTGCTCGTGTCTCTCAGGGCTACAGTAAATGCAAAAAAGACACACAAACACACACACGTACACACATACACATACACATAGATATACATATATGCATATATGTATATAGATAGATAGATATTTATTTACGCAGTATACATGTAAATATAGATATGTATATATTTTTATATATATACATATATATATTTATATATATACATATATATATAAATATACACACACATGGGTTACTTCGTATATGACATCGACATTTGACGTCTATATACGTTTTTAGCGTTGTTGGTATTTATTCTGCGGTATTTTTTACATTTTTTTTCTTTTAATTCTCGCACTTTTCGCGACCGAAACAAGTTGTTATGGAAAACATTTAAACCATTAATACTGAACTATAAATCGCATCGCTAGTTTTATTCTCAGCACAGGTCTGAAGGGAGACGGGCAAGAGATTTCCGATTTTCAAACACAACTTTTTCACAGAAGTCACTAGTCTTATACGATTTACGAAGCTTTATACATTTTGTCTTTCGGTGTAATACTTTTTAATACTTTTTTCGGTATTTTTGATGTGTGTAAACCACTTTTTTTTTATTTACTTTTTATACTTTTTTTTTTTGCACTTACGTAGTGTTGGAGGGGAAAAATAGAATACTTGAAAATATATATATCAATTTTTGGTTGCATTGCGAATTTGCACAATTTGTTGTTGCTCACCTAAACGCAGTTGCCGCAGCTGCTGCCTCCGTTCCTCCTCTTTATTCTAGCTTGTCGCTCACTCTTCGGCTTGCCAGGGCCAAAGAAAAGGTCTATCAGCAGGCTCCGGCTCCGGCTCCGGCTTCGTGTAAAGGTGTGTGAGTGAGTGCGTGAGTGTTCACAGACGTGGTGTGCGTATGTGTGCGAGAGTACGCCGTCGACGGCTATTGTGAATGTCTTTGCTTTCGCTGCGTTTACCACGGATTGTGCCCTGTTTTTGCTGTCGGCGTTGAAAGTCTGCAGCTGATTTTGCAATATATATGATCCTGAATTGAAGCGTTTACCTGTTCCTTATTGTACTCTATTAAATTTTTAAAATTGCCAGGCGCTTTTTTAACAAAAAAAACTCTTGTCAGAAACGAAGCCGCCGCAACTGCAGAAAATATTAGTGGTGAACAAAGTTTGCTAGAGCTGCACTCGATGTTGTTTTTATCGCTTCAGTACAAGCTATCGATATTTATATTTTCAATGCAGGAACGCGGAATTTAAATTCCATTTAAATTACCATATTTGAATTTACAATCTATTATTTATAAAATGATTTGTAACCTATTATAATAATGCTTCAATGCTTTTCTTAATCTGAAGACTGTATTCATCGATATTCAATTATCCCATAACCTAACTATTTCTAATTAATAATTTAAACACACGCTTTTGTCTTCATTGAATGTTTTATGTAGGTCATGTAAATTAAAGTAGCCTATATCTCAAATTTTTTCTTTTTTATTGTGTGACTTAAATTTGATCAATACATTTGACAATCGGGATAGAGGGGTCCACTACGAAGCTATCGATGGTTTTGTAGCTATGAGAATACTATAATTTGCGCAATCGATAGCCGTTGTGCAGCCCTAGCGAAATGCAACTGTTGAACGAAACGTTACGTTGTCTTCCAAAGAGTGGTGCGACCAAATCGTATATACAATGTCTGGCGAGCGTAGGCTGGGCAGCTGTCGGATATCAGCATCACCGGCACTATGCCAGCATCCCTGCCATTGCCATGAGCCACGAGCAATTTGATGGACCCACTCCCGATGCCAGCAGGTCGCCCCTGATCACAATGCACGGCTTATTCGGTTCCAAGCAGAACTGGCGTAGCATCAGCAGGGCCCTGGCCAAGCAGACCAATCGTCGCGTAAGCAAGTAAACTCCCCGCCATTTCAGCCATATGACGCTCTAGCATGCACTTCCCTCTACATTTCAGGTCTACACAGTGGACTTACGCAATCATGGAGACAGTCCGCACACGGACACGCACAACTCGATTGGGATGACGGCGGATTTGGTTGCTTTCACGCAGGCGAAATCCTTGAGTCAGACTTGTGTGATGGGTCACAGCATGGGCGGACGCTCTGCCATGCACTTTACCTTGTCACACGTATGATATTCAACAGTGGAAGCTGCGTTTTCCTAAACATTTTACTGATATCTTGGTTTTTCCTTAGCCGGATCTTGTGGAGCGTCTGATTGTGGTGGATATTTCGCCAGTGTACATACCCGGAACTATAGAGGATATGACGGGTATTTTCAAGGCTATGCTGCAGATCGATATGCCACCGGATATGTCGTTATCCCAGGGCCGCCAGGCCGCCAAGGAAAAGCTGGGTGAAACCGTGGATCGCAGTTCGGTGGACTTCATTTTGCTGAACCTGCGCAAAAGACCAAAGACTGGCGAGTAAGTGCTCCATTTGAGTGAACTGAAACTCCTTTAACTGAAGCCGCTCCACACAGATTCTACTGGGCCTGCAACGTAAATGTCCTGCTCAACAGTTTGCCCGGCTTCACGCGCTACGGCGAGCACATTGCTAATTTGCCGCCCTACACGGGACCCACCACCTTCATCTGTGGCACCCGCTCACCATATATGGAGTAAATAGCTGAGTTATATTTATTATAATTGCATATCAATATAAATATAATTACAATTTTCTCTCTCTCTCTCCCTCTCTTTCTCCCTTTCTCGCTCGCTCGCTCGCTCTCTCTCTCTCTCTCGCTCTCACACATGCATTCTACAGACGCGAGTCGTGGCCCGAGGTGCTGAAAATCTTTCCCAATGCCAACATCCACTGGCTGGACACGGGCCATTTGGTTCATCTGGAGAAGCCGCAACAGTTCATCCAGATTGTTACCGAATTCCTCAACGATCCATGAGCAAATTTCCACCCGATTTTTACCAAATTTGACAATGTATTTGCACAAATCAGAGCGAGATGTCAAATCGATTGCTCAACAGAGACGAAAGAAATAAAGCAACATGAATACATTTTAAATGTAAATTTAATTCTTTTTCTCGTATTTGAGTGTATACATAGTAAAGACGGACTTTTAAAATATTTATACACATTTAAAACACAAATTAGAGATCAAAAACAAGTCCAAACCCATTCGAAGCAAATTTTTGGATAAACGTAGCCTTATATGTAGCAATTTGTAAATGAGATATTTCGAGATTGATGTGTATATGTATTCAAATGTGTATGGGTGGGTGTGTGTGTGTGTCGTGTGTGTGTGTGTGTGTGTGTGTGGCTTAACGTACAATTTAAATACATAATATAAATAAGTTGAGAGGGGGTTCCTAATTGCGGCTGTGTTTCCATGAAAATCACATAGCTCTTAAAACCTAAATATTTCCTTTAAAAGTCGATTTTCCTTTTCCTTTTTGTTTTACGCTTATCGTTTTCCATATAAATGAACACAGTTTGCGTGTGTGTGTGTGTGTGAACTTGTTTACAATAATAAATACATAAACAGGAATGGTGGGTAAAACATTGTGCTAAGGCTAACATGATTTTTCCACTAAGATTTTTCATGTTGTTTTCTGTTTTTGTTCCTTGTTTTGAATGCTGCTAATGTGCGTGTTGGGTGTGTGTGTGTGTACGTGTGTGTGTGTTTGAGAGTCAGCTAGCTTTAGTTTAGTTTTTCATGTTTTTTCGTTTGTTTTCATTTTTTTTTTTTTTTTTTTTTTTTTTTTTTTTTTTTGCTGCTATAGGTTTTAGTTATAGTGTAGCTGCTGCATCAATTCTTAGCTCTCGGCTTAGGTCTAGGTAGGTTTGCCCCCATCGTAGGCGTAGTCCGCCTTGTTGTGCATTACGAGTCGATTCTCTACAAAGTAAAAGCTGTCCGAGCGTGTCTCGAACGGACTGGATATCATTTCAGCAACTGCAAAGCGTAATTAAATCAAATTAAATAACTACTGACCTAGTTACATGAGTACAGTGTGCATTCGATATGTTGACTAGAGCAAGCGAAGTTCAGTATTTTTTAACAAATTATTCTCATTAAAGTTTTTGAATAAGTCAAAACTTAAAATCAATTTCGTTTTTACAAAATGACATAAATAATGGACTATATTTTTTTTAGCTTTACAGGGTATTTACATGTCCTGCGCTTAGTTTTAAATTAATATGCTTCATTGTTTAAGCCCAAAATGAATTCAGTTCTCTTCAATTTATATATTAAATTTTGAAAAGAATTTGAAGCTATACAGGGTATTTACAATTTAAAGTTTTAAGAACTTAATTGGGTTTAGTTTAATATTAGCTCAGTTTCAATAAAAGTTTTTATCTATAGCTAAAATTGTGAAAATATTTAAGGAGTATTTAAATATCTTTCACTCCCTTTCAAACTGAATCTTCAACTATTTATGTAAGACATGTTTTCACATAACTCTTCGAGGTAAAGCCCAAAATCAAATCAGCTATTATAAATATGCACCTCTACTTAAATTCTACAGCATTACAGGGTATTTAAATATAGTGCACTCCTCTTCACACATTCAAATATGCTAGCACAGCTCTATTTGACTTCGTATACTTCATATCGAATGCGCACTGTACATGCATGTGCCTGGGCACATGACCTTGACTGCAGCTGGCAGCAGTTGCATTTGCATTTGCATGTGCATGTGCATGTGCAGCTGCAGTACGGGTATGGGAGCTATTACTCACCGAGATCTGGCGGAAGATTGGGGAACTCGTAGATGTGCTCGCAAGTGTTCTTGGAGTGTGGAATGCAATAGCCGAACTCAAAGTCGAAA